CTTGTAGAATGAGAAATTAGAACAGTTATTATACATTATACATTTATATGCAGGAAGTGACGAGTTACATATGTAACGAAACGCACGTCCTGAATTCCTGTGTCGATCATAATCCATGTTTTTTGTGTTTTATTTTCACTTTTAATGGTATGGATACTGTATATTCACTCAAAATCAAGGATTTATATTGGGTCTATTGTAATTTATACTAGAGACTTGCGGATTAGTGGAAGTCTTTTACACAAATTCGCATCAGGTTTCAAGTCACATATCTTTAAAGTCCTAGTTCATTGTTCTAAAAAACGATCTCGTTAAACAGATAGTGGAAGGGATAAGGTCTTGTTCATTTGATTCTGTGATACTTTCATCAGTGAAAAAACTATGAATCTAGGCAATACTACTGCATATATGTATAGATACAAGCTATAAGTAGTGTCAGATATCTTCTTACACAACTTGATGTACTGTACACACGTACGACCAAACTTATGACAGTGAACTGACATCTATTATCAGATAAAAATTCTGGAATTATAGGATTTATTCGAAATTCGGAGAAACATATTCTATGGTCATATTAGTTATATTTTTCAAAAATCTGTAAGATGGTTACAATAGAATAAAAAAAATCATTCAATGGCATTTGTATTTACCTGAAACGTGCTATTTTTCAGGATCTAATGGAATATATATCCCACATAATTCTCTTTTATTCACTTTTGAAAATTTTATGATTTAAAACCAGCCACTGAAATGCATGTTGTACAATTAAATTTCATTTAAATCAGGATCAAAAAGCTTCGATGAAGTTGGAAAATGAAGGTTAATGGACAAATCAAAGTATAAAATTTATAACTCAGCATAATTTAACCTTCAAGTCTCTGCCGCTAAAAGCTAACACTACAGAGGACCATTATTGTAAGGAAAAAATGTGCATTTACCTAAGAGGACCTGAAAGGGTTGCTATGTCTAATTTAATTCCGTTCTTATGACTAATCATTATGTAAGCCTAATTTGTAGAACAAAAAGAAGAACCTACCATATTACGTCGACTTTAAGGGAAGATTTAGAGGACTGATAACTAGTGTTTGTTGGGAAAGCAGAAATATAAAACCACAAAACGAGTATTTATTTATATATACATTGTTTTGGTAACTTTTAGGAAATACTTCTTAAAGAATCTGACTGGTTAATGATTATTATGTTTTCCAAAAACAACAGATATGGTTTATTCAGTATTGTAGCAATATTACATCAACTAAATATCGGTCATGATCTATTTATAGTAGTGTGCTGTGATTTTGTATCTTATATTGGTATTCATGTGAGTTTTGGATATGAAAAGTAAAACGTACGTAATATCACTTATTCGATCTTACTGTGTTAGGGGTTTAAAGGGATGAGTGTTTCTATAAACCATTGATCGTGAGAAAAAATCTTAGTAACATGATTCCTGGTGGTCATTGTGATTACGGTAGAAAACATAACACTGTAAATGCCAAGATCCGTTGTACTAATCACTGTTGAAAAATGAGTTTAGTGTTTTCAAGGATATTAGCATAAGCTATATCACAGGTTAAAAACATGGGTTTTTTGACGGAGCTTCTCTGTGATCCAAAGTATTTGTTTCAAGAGAAGAGAGGTGAACAATTTTAATACAGCACAGTTACCAACTTCAGTGCGAATATTTGAAAGGTGATGGTAAACAATTTCTTTGTAAGTATTATTACAATCCTGTTTTGTATGTTTCCCCTTCTGTGTCAGATTTTTCTAGTTCTGACTTGTCTATTCTACTAGTTTGAGCAGACAAACGAGACCAAAAGTGATTTGAAGATGAGACTTTGTTTTTGTAAAACACTTTCTGACCTTAATTTAATACCACTTATTCACTTCATTTAATTAGAAAATATTGTTGCATCAGCTATCAAAGAGGAGTTATTCCTTTGCAATTAATAGGTGATATAAAAATATCCCAAAATACTGTGGTTTATTTGTCAGTTATTGTGACTGATTTTCATTCGTAGGCAATCTTTCAATTGAAATTTGAGTTGAGACTGGGTAGTTGGCTTTAACACATCATATTTAAATGAAATATTTACCAATATTCAGTTGAAATTAACGCCATTAAATTATATTGAATTTTATTCATAAAAACTTGCTTAGAGATTAGTGAATTCAGAATAACCTTGACAGTTTATATTATTGAAAGTTCATCCAATAATCTTTAGCAATGCAAAAATTTGAATATAATGCCAATCCCTAACCAACTAGTAAACTGAAAAATAATTTCAAAGAATAGAAATCACATAACATGTTAGAACTGGTTTGGAACTCCATTGACTTACCAAAAACATTTTTTTCCAAAAGAAATAATACTTAAAAGTGCTTTAATGTAATGCTCTCGATAATCGAACAAAAGTGTTAGTCAAAATTAATAATCGACATTAGAATTCTACTGATATTTTTCTCAACAAAATCAATTTGTTCCATACTATTGTATGTTCCATTTTCTAATAGCGATTATCACTTTTAAAAACAATTTGTATTTTATTGCTAATTTCGTATTATCAGTATCAGTTAAAACTTTCGTATTGCCATGCATCTATGTCTGTTATAATTTATTTTAACAGTTAAGCACTAAGTATTCACTTTATAATTTCGTTTACCTTTTACTGGCTAGTAGACTGTCGTCGTAAAATTTATCCCCACACTTTTTATCAACCCTATCCTAACAACCAAAACAGCGTACGGAATAAAAAGTAGATACAAACTGCCAACATTAATAAATAACTCATTTCATCACTGCTAAGTTCATTAAAAATGGAACTATTTTTAAATACCTCAGTGACTACATGAGTCCTAACGGGTGAAATCGTTATGATAGGCGGAAATAACATCACCGAATATCATATAAATTTTATTTTAAACCTTGAGTGATCATTGGTTAATTGACAAGTAATTCAGTTACCCAGTCTTGGCAAATTATTTGTATTTAAATTATAGTTTTAATTTCACATTTTGTTTGTCGATGTGCTACTAAGTATTCTAATTTTAAAAAAATGTACTAGAATCAATATACTTTAATTCTTAAGTTCTGTTCTCTCTCTTCAGAGTGAAATACACACAAGTGCTTAATAACTCGATAATTTTATGGATCTAATGGTGAAAATGGTTCATTATGAAGGATTGTTCTAAATCAACAGAACTCCAAATATAGCTAGATATTTTTTTATTAATATGTCTTCAAATGAAAGCAGATTTCAATATATCTTACCTTAGATTACATTAGAAGAGAAATTTATAGATAAAAATAATGATTTTCGCTATTACCTGTCAATCCCATCCAATCACATGGTTCATTGTGTAATATACATCGTCGAGTTTTTGTTAATTCTTTTGTTTTATAAATGTAACTGACAATCTTCTGACACTAACAAAAGTTAGACGCCATAATATTTTCAAAAAAATACAAGCTTACTAATTTTCTGTGTGACGAGCATTATAGCTATTTGAAGCATTCCCTTGGAAGTCAATCAACATTGGTTAGCAAATGACATATTTGTAGACTTTTTCATTACCAAAGCCAGTGCTCCACGGTTTTCACTGTTACTTCAATTGAGATTAATCTGTGACGAATAAAAACTAAAAATCTAAGCAATCTCCACCGAACCCCTTTAACTAAAATATTACGTTTTCCACTTTTTTTTATCGTGCTTACTGGCTTAGATGTTTACTCATAGAAGCGTGAATCACCGCCACAACATATATTTATGGACATATTGTTCAATATATAAAAGTGAATTGCTAATATATATTTCATATAGTACTTATCGTCTAGTTCTCTTTCTTAACCTTTCCAGAATTAACTCACAGTACTATCTAGAATCACAAGGCATTTTTCAGAAATCCTAAGTAAAATTATTGCGGAGAAACGTAGCTTATACCAGAGAAACAGTTTGAGAAATTAATTCTTCAAAATTCTTGTCTGTTAATATCATTCAAGAGTTTTATATTTGTAAGCAACCTTTAGCGTTTCTTTAATTAAATTATTCAGGATTAATAAAGTGAGGAAACTATTCTATACTATATATACATATGGTATGCAGTGGTATAGAAAATGGTGTTGGACGAATATACCATTCAGTACAAGCAAACAACACCAAGTAAATTTACGTCATTCAGTAATTTTACTAATAATGAACTCAAATTACTGGAGTACTAACAAGAGCTGTACATGAATCGCATTCAGAAATTAAAACTGAAAACTATCCCAAATATTGGTGTTTCATTTATTCATTATGAATTGGTCTATACAGATGTTGTATACCACAAATAACCGCTTAATAAGTGTTTTTTTTCTTCAGATTAATGTACACCTCGTCAGAATGATAAGATTTTAAACTGTATGATGAACAATAATATTAAATACATAAGAATGAAAATGTAGAAGAAATAGTAGTAGCAGTACTAGTAAAGAGATAGCAAATTTGTATATTCGCATGTGTTTTTATGAAAACAGTTATCACTGTTTACATGGTGATTCATTTCCATAGTTCATGATATGAGTATTTTGATGAAGATAGATTTCAAATATCTTTATACAAGACAATGCCTGATTTCAAGACGGTAACGACTGGAAACGCTGCTTGTGTCTTGTATGAATCTCTGTTTAGCCTCAAACCTATCATAAAGAAAGCAATATGAAAGCAAAAATATATACTTAATGGGTCTTTTTTTTCAAGAGCACAGCCATTAAATTCAATGAAGAGAGTACAACCATATTTCAGTAATTATTGATCAATAAAAGATACAGAGTATCAGTGTGCACCCAAATGGATGTAGTGACTAAATCATGTGACCACATTCTGTAGATTATTAGTTTAACCAGTTAATAGTCAGATGAACATTTTCAATTTACTAATATTATCACGTAGATTTTATTATTTACTGATTGTTCTGTTAAAACCAATTGAATGAATAACTAAACAATTGTGAGAAGAAAACTTTTTATCAGAGGGATGATAATGATTATGATTAGATACTTAAATAAACAACCTTGAAAAACTGAAGCGTGGAAATCATGTGATATGCTATGAATCAACAAAGTTAAACATTTATATTCATAATTAATAAAACCCACTTAATTTATCAAAGTATGAACTCGGTAAGTTACTTTTAAATTAGCAAAATATACTTTTATACTACAATCGAGTATAAATATGCAACACCAGTTTTTTAGAATTGGAATGCCTCTGTAACAGATGGTTTGTATCAGGATTTGGTTGAACTGTTTATTCATGAAGAATTTTCTTATCTACTTATTCGGTATACTCGTTGAGAGGTTGTGATTTTCATAAGACCATATTATTTTCTTGTACACTTATAACAGTGTCAACATGAGCTTTATCAATAGGAATTAAACTTCTTCTTGTTCTTCTGTGCTATATACCATAGCTAAGAAGTCTTAAACAAATTAAACAAATGGAATACAGTCATTCAAACGACCGATAAGTAGTGTTTTTTACGAACATTGCTCATTCAAGGAAAATCTAAGTGAAAAATAGATTTGCAAACTATAACTAGTTTGTTATATAGAAGAGCAACGGCTCTTCAAATAGGCATTCAACGAAGAACCGATCTATAAGTATCCAACTAAAGACGGAATAAGGCTAGCTAGGAGAGATAAATCAACTACAATTGTTGATCGTGGCATTTTAAATTTATGAATTGTGTTTACACAGTGAGTTATTGATCAACCATCTATGAGTTTCGACCAGTTAAAGTTTGTTTAGAAACTGGCCATTAATCAATGTAAATAAAACCTATGAAATTTAGAGTATCTCAATCTAGTTGACGTACTTTCAGCATGAAAATAAATCTTCATATACAGTATTTTTCCGTTTTTTCAAGCTGTTGTAGCCCACGGGAGGGGGTTCCAGAATGTAAGGTTTTATTTCTCTACTAGTAAAAGGTAAGCCTCATCACATATACAGTTAGATGTTTGCAACAGTATCAGTCAGCAAGAAAGTAGTTTCCCCTCGCTTATTTATATAAATCTCGGTAGTACTAGTTTACAAGACCAATATCAAAACTGCAGATGATTTCATGGGTAATTTATACTTGGAATAGTACAAATGTCAGCAGTAACTATAAATTCTTTATATCCTGTTTCATAAAACGCAGTTATTATATAATATGGATCTGTATCATTTCCACTAACAATTAATCGATCGAATGTAGTCTATAAAATGAATTTTAGGTAGTGTTAGTAATGAACTACATCCTCATCTTGAAACCATATTTGAAACGCCATTTTTTAAATATCTTTTAAGATATTGTATAATTCCACAGTTTTAAGTATCCTAGACGTTTTGTTATTTGTGGATAAACTGGTCAGTGACATTTTTCTTGTTCATTTGTTTAGTAAATATCCGGTTGTTTAAAGTTGGAACTGTTAATTTCTAAACAAAATATTTTTTTAATCCATCAGAATTAGTGACATTATTAGGAGGAAATATCATTAACAGATCTTTGTCATAAATCCCTTGAAGAATTTTCCAACTATGTATTATGGTGTGAAATAATATTTGGCTTCCACTTTTTTATTTTATTTATAACTTTAACACTGAACTATATATAGATCTACGAAATAACATACTGCAGGGCTTTCGTGTTGACTTTCACATAAACCCCTTATGTATCTGAACCTCATTTTGCTGAAGGGTACATACAACAACATATGAATGGTCTGTATTCCTAGAGGAAATCTATTTACTAACAAAACAAGATTAGCCATAGAAGTAGATTTGCGTCTTATTTAAAAGCATTGACTGATGTTTAATTAGTGAATGGTTGTATTGTACTTTTTTGCATAGAAGAAAAACAATTATTTATCTATACTTGAAAGAGATTTCGACTTACTTGACAGAAATAAAAATGGTTGGTTAAACAAAAAAGAAGTTCAGAACTGTCTTACCTCGTTTGGATTCGATCCACGTTATACTCAGGTAGGTGTTGAATTTATTTTCTGTGCTATTCGAACAGTCTTGTAGTTCCATCTTTTTTATTTATTAGTTGTGGTATGTGAATGGGAAAATTGAAATGCAATCACATGTTGAGCATTTAAAAAGAAATTTTCACTACCGAACACAGAACAATCACTTGACATGAAATAAGTGACATTTTTTAGAATAAAAGTAGGAAATTGAATGCTAGATTTAGTGATTTGCTATCGGTCTACGAATGACCAGCACTTTTTAATTTCGGGTCAATTATTCGGTACTTTAGTTAAGTGGCAGACTTCTTAAAAGATAACTTATAACCTAGATCTTAAATGGTGGACAGCTACCTGATGTTCAAGTATAAACACATTTAGCTAATGAGAGAAAAAAGTCAGTCTTTCTGAGAACAATGTAATAAAATCATTTTTATACTTGTAAGGACTATAAGAATGACATTCATTACCATTTGAAACAAGTAACAGCCGAAGCTGATTAGTCATGGACATGACATAAAATACAATGAGCTGTTTATAATCCAATATACAAAATGTGATAGATATAATCTGGTTACTTAAGTTATACAATAGCAATATAGGTAACAATGGTCCATAAATAATTCCTAGCAGGTACCATTCATTTATTCTTATTCATGATATAACACAAAATAGAATTAACCAAGTGCATGAATCTAGGTAACACATTTTAGTAATTTTCATTGTTGATTGAAGTTAGGGGCCGAGCTGTAAATATATCTAAATTTATAAAAAGGACAAACTATTTTAAATTGAAAACATGAAGTTCAGGGAAGGGATCGCTTTTCAACGAATTTATTATCAAGGTGTACAATCGTATATATATGAAATTTTTTTCTTTTTTGTAAAAGTACTAATTCCGTGAGGAAATGTGAATACAGTTAACCAAGATGACATAATAGAAAGATTATAATACAAAATTACGTAATACGAATAATAACAATAGATTTAGTGAATATAATACGATGATTAAAATGATTTCCACAGGCTGAAATCATCAGTCGATTGAAGCTAGACCACCATAGGAAACCTAGAAACACTGGACGTCCTAGTATGGGACTCCTCAGCAGTGTGCATTCACGACCCCATCCCCCACGGGATTCGAACCCAGGACCTACCGGTTTCGCTCTCGAGCACTTAACCACTAGACCACTGAGGCGGTATCCAGCGGTTTTAATGTCTAACTTCAGCCTCTCCATGAAGTTGCGCCACCGTACACCATTGTCTTCAATGAGCTGATATCTCACCTGATTGAACTCGACTGGTAACGGCTTCTCATGGGGTGCGGGATTGTGGATGTGCACTGCTGAGGAGTCCCATACTAGGACTAAACGGCCTTCCAGTGCTTCCGGGTTTTCCATGGTGGTCTAGCTTCAATCGGCTCATGATTTCAACCTGTGAAATTTCTAAAATCTCCACAAACCCCTTCTGATAAAATTTTTTTGTTATAATAATTAAAGGTCATAGAGGTGTAAAAATAAATAAGGTGATATGATGAGTATGCACGAACAAAACAATGAGAATATAAGACATAAGTAAAGGGGGAATGCAGTAATAATAATAATAATAATAATAATAATAATAATAATAGGATAATCAAAATAATTAAGGCCAAGGTAACAATAACGATAAGACGTACTTCTTTTGTATGCATAGTTCTGGTTTAAGTTCCTGGCTATTTTTAAGAGTTGGATACAAAGAAATCTGGGTAGATTTGAACGAATCATATAAACAAACTTAAAATCAAATTGTGGATCTGTAGAATGGTTACAGTCGATCAGGTGTTCAAGTATAGAACTCCTGATTGCTTTCCTTTCACCCTTATAAAACCAAGCTGGGATATGTTACCGTATCCGAGTTGAAAGCGAGCGCTGGCTACGGCCAATTTACCTTGCTCCACAAGAGCAGGTAAACCGGTTGATATATGCGATTGTACAGCTTGATCATAAATTCGATGAAAAGAGATCCCTTCGCTGAACTTCGTGTTTTAATTTTAATGTTTAAATGGGAATTATCTGTCAATATTTTAAATTTGACAAACCGAAACCGTAAGAAGATAGGTTTTATAAATTTTTAGGTAAAGAAGGAAAATTGTAAAATGTCAAACATAAGTAACGATTCGTGATAAACTCCTTGATTTCCTATTCAAAAGAACAAAGCAACCTCTGCTTCGATACTTATCTAATTTACAGTTAATAGGTAAACAAATTGATTGACATTTCTGAACCAACTCTTAATTATTTACTTGAATCTTCCCAATGATGTTTAGGACTGCACTTGATCAGTCTCTTATTAGTATATGTGCATATTGCCTCGATATTGCCTTAATTCACAAGTATTATAAGCAAAGATGGATAGTGGCTATCAGTCTAAGGTTGTAAAAAGTATTGCTTGGTTTGTTTTTATCGACATATATAATTAGCAAAAAATAATATTCCCTGGTTTATTTACCCATTTTAAGTATACGCAAAATGTGTAATGTACTCTTAACATGAACCCGTCTACTCATCAAATAATTACTTTTACATCAAAACACCAATTAACTGCGTTTGATGGTGACAGCTAAACTTTTAATGAAATCTATGGACATTTTTATGTCAAGCATCCAGAGATACAGGAAACTCCAATCACAAAAATTTCTCTTCATATGAAACTAGTTATGGTGTGTATAAATGTGCAGGAATGGGAGTTTCAGGAAGAGGATTTCCTTTGTTTAACATTCTCTTTACTGTAATTCTACCCTGTTATCTCGATTGTTTCGAATCCAGTAATTTTCTCATATTGTTAAATTCTTCGTTATATGTTGCAGTTGGGTCTTTAATACTTCTGCTTAAAGTTCAACTAATCCAGTATCAGTAATCAGAACATAGTAGTAATTATTGAAGCAGTCTTAATCTGTTGTTAGTTACAATGGAATTTTACTTCATGTCGGTTTCAAAACAGTTTCTATCATCTTAATTGATTCTCATAATACTTTCTTTAATCAGGATTAACTTATAACTTGTTCAAATGGTTTTCCTGTGATGAACACCTTTTCAACCTTTTACTGGACTATCCTTGCCAAAAAACTGAATATTTGAACTACGAAGTATTTACGTAAACAGCCACATTTTGCCAAATCACTATTTTAAGTAACGGATATTCCTGTACCGACACTACTGTACAACAAAAGCAAAACTTCTCTAACGCGTTTTGAATTTAAACTCAAAAAAATCAACATTTTAACTCATTTGTATTGATTGTTTGAATCCTCCCATTTAGTGGTGGCTAGTGGTACCGACCAACTCTGTTTATAATTATTGTAATTTGATGGTAATATTGTGGCGATTCGCACAGGATGAAAAAGGATTAACCAATTCCAATCCTAAACATTTATGAGAAGATTCAAACAACCAATACAAATAGATTTTAGTTTATTCTTAGGAAGATAATTGCCTACAACGACAGCTAACCATATTATACCATTTTAGAAACACTAAGACTTCCAAATATCCTTGCAAGTGTTACACTAATAATGATCAGCGAGAAATATTACTTATCAAAATTTTGGACAGCAACATGTCTTTCTTAACCTCGTTATTTAAAAACAGATGTCTAAAATAAACTTCAATTAGAGGTATCTTTGGATTATTTTTTCTGGTTAGCGTTTTAAAACAACTTTCAACCAATATCAAAGTGAGAATCTTCAATACGAACGTCAAGGCAGTTCTACTGTATGGAGCTGAAACTTGGAGAACTACAACAACCACAATCAAGAAAGTATAAGTATTTATAAATAGCTGTCTACGCAAGATACTCAACATCCATTGGCCGGATACCATCAGCAATAGCATTCTGTGGGAGAGAACAAACCAACTTCCAGCTGAAGAAGAAATTAGGAAAAGACGATGGAAATGGATAGGACATACATTACGCAAATCGTCAAACTGCATCACGAGGCAAGCCCTAACTTGGAATCCTGAAGGGAAGCGAAAAAGAGGAAGGCCAAAGAACACATTGCGTCGGATAATAGAAGCAGATGTGAAAACGATGAATTACAACTGGACGGAGCTAGAAAGGATTTTCCAGGACAGGGTTGGATAGAGAATGCTGGTGAGCGGCCTATGCTCCTTCACGAGGAGTAACAGGCGTAAGAAGAAGAAGAAGAAGAATAGGTATCTTTACATTTTATAGAAAATTGAAAAAAGTTATTCCATTGTAAAATACTTCAGGTTTTGTATTTCAACATGTTGGAACACCAAATACATTTAGGTATGTATGTGTTATTCTGTTGGCTCTTTATTAGTAAGATTGGGTTCATCACAATCCAACAGCAGATGGAGAACAGCCTGAAAACAGAAGGTAGCGGTAAAGCATTAAATCGTATTTTAGAGTTTCTCAGGTTTTATTCGCTGTTTATATAATGTTAGTCAATGATTGAATTTACATTACGTGAACAAAATTTCCTCTAACTATATAATGAATTTGGATTATTATTATTTTTTAAATAATCCATTTAAGGAGTTCATGGTACACTTCGATGTAAACAGTGATGACAAAATAACAAAAACAGAATTCCTTGAAGCTGCGAAACAAATTAAAATTGGGAAAATAACGTGAGTTATGATACTTACCGTTTTCCTTTGTACCTTTATCATCAATATGTTTATAGCGTAATCTGAAGATGCTATAAAATGCTATACGATTTAATCTAAAGTAATAACAGAATGTTCCCATCTTGCCACCCATTTCTCAGGTTTTCTTATGGCTAAAATTTCAGGGTTGATTTAGATCTGGTAGATAGTGATCAAGAAATTTCTTTCTAAATAAACAGTACTTCATTATTTACTGACGCAAAAATACTTCTATATCTTGGAATATAGCCTCAGCGAAATTGCAACAGATGATCTGAGAGCTTGGGAGACTTAGGGATGGATAACTGATGGTTCTGAATCTCAAACTGGATATGAAAACACAATATACTGTGTCATTATCAAAGTTCGACTTGATAACTTCGAGTAAATTGAGAACTTGGTGTCTTGTTAATGATAAAAATAATATATATGTATGGTTTCAATGAGTAGGAAATTAAATTTCTAACGTTTCATGTAAGCCAATTCCTCAAATAATAAAAATAAATAAACGAATTGAGTTAACAGTTTAAATAGTGCAAAGGACACAGTAGAATATATTTACTTACTTACGCCTGTTACTCCTCGTGAAGGAGCATAGGCCGCTCACCAGCATTCTCCATCCAACCCTGTCCTGGAAAATCCTTTCTAGCTCCGTCCAGTTGTAATTCATCGTTTTCACATCTGCTTCTATTATCCGACGCAATGTGTTCTTTGGCCTTCCTCTTTTTCGCTTCCCTTCAGGATTCCAAGTTAGGGCTTGCCTCGTGATGCAGTTTGACGATTTGCGTAATGTATGTCCTATCCATTTCCATCGTCTTTTCCTAATTTCTTCTTCAGCTGGAAGTTGGTTTGTTCTCTCCCACAGAATGCTATTGCTGATGGTATCCGGCCAATGGATGTTGAGTATCTTGCGTAGACAGCTATTTATAAATACTTATACTTTCTTGATTGTGGTTGTTGTAGTTCTCCAAGTTTCAGCTCCATACAGTAGAACTGCCTTGACGTTGGCATTGAATATTCTCACTTTGATATTGGTTGAAAGTTGTTTTAAGTTCCATATGTTCTTTAACTGTAGGAATGCTGTCCTTGCTTTGCCAATCCTTGCCTTTACGTCTGCATCTGAACCTCCTTGTTCATCGATGATGCTTCCTAGGTATGTGAAGGACTCTACATTTTCCAGAGTTTCGCCATCAAGAGTGATTGGATTGTTGTTTTCCGCTTTGAATTTGAGGACTTTGGTTTTCCCTTTGTGTATGCTGAGGCCTACTGATGCAGAGACTGCTGCTACACTGGCTGTCTTCATCTGCATCTGTTCGTGTGTACGTGATAGGAATGCTAGGTCGTCTGCGAAGTCCAAATCGTCTAATTGATTTCGAGCTGTCCATTGAATTCCGTGTTTTCCTACAGATGTCGGGGTCTTCATAATCCAGTCGACCACCAGAAGAAAGAGGAAGGGAGAGAGTAAACAGCTTTGTCTTACTCCGGTCTTTACTCGGAATGCATCTGTCAGCTGTCCTCCATGCACGACTTTGCACTGTAGTCCGTCGTATGAGTTCCGGATAATGTTGACAATCTTCTCAGGAACTCCGTAGTGTCGAAGAAGTTTCCATAATGTCCTCCTATCTACACTGTCGAATGCTTTTTCATAATCAATGAAGTTGATGTATAGTGATGAGTTCCACTCAACTGATTGTTCGACGATGATCCGTAGTGTTGCAATTTGGTCTGTGCACGACCGATCCTTACGGAATCCAGCTTGTTGATCTCGAAGTTGGGCGTTTACTGCATCCTTCATCCGGTTCAGCAACACTCTGTTGAAGACTTTCCCTGGTATTGACAGCAGTGTAATGCCTCTGTAGTTTTCACATTTGCTCAGATCTCCTTTCTTTGGAATCTTGACGAGGTGTCCTTCTTTCCAGTCCATCGGCACTTGTTCCTCCTCCCAAATCTTTTTGAATAGAAGGTGAAGCATGTTTGTAGTTATTTCGATGTCTGACTTCAGTGCTTCAGCTGGTATATTGTCGGGTCCTGCTGCTTTCCCGCTCTTGATTTGTCTGACGGCCATTCTAATTTCTTCCGTCGTTTGTGGATTGACATCTATAGGAAGATCTATGTGTGCCGCTTCGATGTCCGGTGGATTCATTGGAGCCGGCCTATTCAGAAGTTCCTCGAAGTATTCTACCCATCTGTTCCGCTGTTGTTGAATTTCGGTGATTGGCTTGCCTTCTTTGTCTTTGACCGGCCTCTCTGGTTTACTGTATTTCCCTGCTATTTTCTTCGTTGTATCGTGAACCTGTTTCATATTTCCTTCTCTAGCAACTTTTTCCGCCGTCGTTGCTAGTTTTTCCACGTATTTCTTCTTGTCGGCTCTAATGCTCCTCTTCACTTGTTTGTTTGCTTCTATGTATTCAGCTTGTGCTTGGACTTTCTCTGCTCGTGTTCGGCTGTTGTTTATTGCTGCCTTCTTGTTCTTCCTTTCTTTGATCTTGTCCAGTGTTTCTGTAGAGATTCACTCCTTATGATGGTATTTCTTTAGACCCAGAACCTCTTGACACGTTGAAGTTAATGCTTCCTTGATGCCTTTCCAGTTGTCCTTCATACTAGTTTCTTCTTCTTTCAGTAGATCTTGTAAGGCTTGGAACCTGTTGTTGAGAGCTATCTTGAATTCATTGAGTTTGTCAGTATCTCGAAGGAAGGCTGTATTGAACCTTTGTAGTGCTGTTTGTCCACTTGTCCAGTTCTTTTTTAGCTTCAGTTTTAAATTGGCCACAACTAGGTGGTGATCTGAAGCTACGTCAGGCCCGCTCTTGGTTCTCACATCTTCCATTGTCCTTCTGAATTTTTTGTTGATGCAAATATGATCTATTTGGTTCTCTGTAGTGTGGTCCGGTGAGATCCATGTAGCCTTGTGTATACGCTTGTGTGGAAATATTGTACCTCCTATGACCAATTTGTTGAATGCACATAGATTTGCAAATCTTCCTCCATTTTCGTTTCTTTCTCCCAGTCCATGTCGTTCCATAATATCTTCATATCCAGTGTTGTCTATTCCGACTTTGGCATTTAGATCTCCCGTCAGAATAGTTAGGTCCTTTCTTGGGCATTTCTCAATGACTGACTGCAGCCGCTCGTAGAACTGATCTTTAATGTTGTCGTTGCTATCATTTGTGGGTGCATAACATTGGATAATATTCATTAAGATCTCCTCCTTCTTTGTTTTGAATGATGCTTTGATGATTCTGGATCCGTGAGATTCCCATCCTACAAGTGCATTTCGTGCTACTTTGGACAGCATAAGAGCGACTCCCTGAGTGTGTGGAGCATTGTCCTCTTCGTGACCGGAGTATAGCAGCATCTCTCCCGTAGCTAGCATTTTCTGTCTAGCTTGGGTCCAGTGGGTTTCGCTGATTCCCAGTACTGCTAAGTTGTATCTCCTCATTTCCATTGCTATTTGATTGGTCTTCCCGGTTTCCCACATTGTTCGAACGTTCCATGTACCTATAAAAAATTTTTCGCTGGTTGTTAGAAGGGGCATCGGCCTCGTGGCTTCCGAAGGAACTCGGCTTTCACCATGAAGCGTCATAATTCTTCTAAATGAAGACCTTCTAACTCCCAGGGCAGAGTTTAAATGGTTTGGATTATTTTTTCTGGTAAGCGTTTTTTTAGCGAGTTAGTTTTCTACGGGATGGGGACGCTAACCCCATGCCCAACCCTCCTCCTTTACTCGAGCTTGGGACCGGCAGTAACCCTATAAGAGCTACAGGCGGAGTTAGAATACATTTAGTTAAACCAAAATTAAAATAGGTCTGATCATGCTTATCTTACGTCATTTCGGTCAAGGTTATTTCATTGTATCAGACATAGCTATGTGTGTGTGAAAAATGTGATATATTTGATGTAGAAGAGTAAGGTTAGGAACGTTTGTATGTTTATTAGGCGTTTGTAATGTGAACAGGATTAATTGCTTGGATAAATGATCCATATTAGATGGATCATTGGGCCTTTCTTTCTGTTAAGCTCAATAGGGTTTACTAAAATATAAAGGGCTTCAGGCATTCACCTTTGTTTGCAATTGTAAAATCCTTTGGGAATTATTAATATCAATCTGGTGTTTGCTTTAATAGTAATATTTACTGTTATTGCTGATTTGATTTGTATAATGCCTAGACCTACAGGATTATTTGGAGGTCTTTTTATGTAACATAAATGTTGTTTTACTCAAGTCATGATTTTACGAGAAGACTTACTAATATAGGATGCATCTTAATCCATACATTCTTGTCTGTAGATACATTTCTGCATCGAAGTAATCGGGATTTCATCATTCATTCAAATTCAAGCAGCTTGACGTGTTCTTTATTATATAGAATGGTTTAATTCTGTGTAATCTGAGAATTCATTTATAGTTTTTCTCTTGTGCCATGACGGTATGATATAATCAAGTTACCATCTCATGAAAATTCATTCAGTTTATTACTATTCAACTAAAGAACATTTCGTTTTAGTATACTGTGACTAATATTTATAGGAAAATTATTAAATTATAAGATGTTGATAACATTTTTGTGTTCCTTTTGTTTCTCTTTACTTGACGTAATCTTTGACGCTCGTCTAAAACAGTTTAGAGTCAAAGAGATTTTTGATTTGAGTGGATGTGATGAATTGAAATCAATTTATCGAGTTGAGTATGTCGGTTTGCGGCATGTGATAGTATTATGTAGGCTATCTTGAATTCGTTTCAGTATACCGCTTATGTATTGAGACAGGGTATATGCTGGAATGTTTGTGAAATCCACTATGGATCTAAACAGGATATGAGGTTTATGAATTTTTGGTAATCCATAAAAATGTGACGTGGTACAATTTGCCAAAAACATTCTGCTTTGAGTCCTTTGTACTATTTGAACCCCGTTTATGTAATTTAATTATTTTATTTGATTATTTGAAGTGGTTTAAACGAAACGTCAGAAAATTAATTTTCTACTCATTAGGACTTTAGAAATACATTATTTTTATTATTAACAAGATGCTACAGTTTAGTCTTGACAACAGTCTCATGCCTTCATTAAGAAGTGATTTTACTCCAATAGCTTTTATGTATTGTGAGAGAGCATCCTAATATTCAATGAATAACTGTGTTAGACCTAGCGCTAATAAAATCTAGCAAAACATGAATGAATTTCAAAGATGTTTAGAAGAATTTATTCCAAAAAAAGAAAAAAACGTCAGTTTTCAAACAGTATACTCGCGTACAACTAATGTATAAACGAATTTTATTCATCAACACTGTAAATATGTTTCCTTTATGAGTGGTTTTATGTTTGTTTTTATTCCAGTGATGCAGAAATGCGTTCAGCATTTAGAAGTGCTGATAAAAATAAATCTGGTAAACTCGATGCCTATGAGTTGAGAGATTTTTTGAAAAAACAGAAAAATGTCGTTTCCATGGATCTCTGTACCAAGTGGATAAGACAGAATGATAAAAACGGAGACCAAAAATTGGATTATGAAGAATTTTTGAAGTTTGTTCAATCCATGTTATGAAAAGAGGACGTTGGCTTCATTTGCTCACCTTTACGATACTAAAAACTAATATAAGACTAAATATTTAGAAGTAGCCATTTGTGTATTTTTTTAAATAATCGTATGAATAAATTATGAAAGTTATCTGGGGAGAATAATACTTACAGTTATGCAAATAATCAGTATCATTTTAATTGTTCTCTTAAGAGTTACGTTTATAATGTATGAATTTCTATTACAATTAATGAGGTTTATTATATATTAGATAGGTTCTTTAAGTTATATAGTTAGGATATGTTCTTAATGAAAGTTAGAACTAAGTATCTGCGTTATCGTAAATTCATACTAACGTGTAAAAATCATACACCAGGCCTCTCAGAAACGAGCTCGATACCTACAATTATGATGGGAATAAGTTCAAACTGGAACTTGGAAGGAGCCTAGAATAAATTGCTTAAGTTAAGTGGAAAACATTATAAACCAAATCAATGAGCTTGAACGAGTCGGCAAATTATTTCATTTCAAATTTGAGCCTATGAACAAAATGCCGTATTAAGACGTTACAATCATGTGTAACTGTAAAAGTATATCTAACGAATTTTTCTTAGATTTACGACAATACACTGCGGTGAATAACCAATACATTTACTGTACAGCTAAATATTTTATTTTGTGTTTAAACCTATCATAATAATACAATACAATTTCACATTGTGTACTTCGAATTTGAGTTGTTTATTGTATTTTGTCGAGGTTCTAGGCTTATTGGGATTAATACCATTTCAAATTCGTACACAATATCAGCCAGCTGAAGATCTAGTTTTAATTATCATATTAAAATCCACGATGAATTGACTAAAGCACAGTACAGTAACTGTGTTAATGTTCAATTGTTTCTCTCGTTATCATAAACCGCAATAAATACCTCAAAGATGACTACCAGGGTAATGAAGGACAAATTCGAAAAAATCAAACACAAAACGGTTTTTAATCGATTGATGGGATGATAATATATAAACAGTTTAAGTGTTATATCACCATACCCATTTTGGTTACCAAGAAGAGATTAATCTTGCAAAAGCAGTAAACCGATATAATCTAAAGAACTATTAGAGAGCAATGAGATTTCAAGAAATTTTTCAATCATCTTGAAAAATCTCTGGTAGTATGGTTCTAAAATGTATAAAAATATAGCTCAAGACCTTCATGAAAATTTGGGTCACTGGTTAAATGATGCAACTCTGTGTTCAAATCCATATGGGAGGGAGTTTTGAGCTAAATAGACAACCAATGATGTTAAATTTTCGGCAGCCCTCAAACTAACATTATTTCACCACGAAATTTATCACTATATTATTCCGTCCCCATCAACTGTTAGTCTAGCCAGTCAAGTACTATAAAATGGAGAACAGTTCATAGTTAAAATAAATAGTATGAATTTGTAGCTACTGAAAAAACTATAAGTAGTGTAAACGAATAAAGCGATATATATATGCTTCCACCCACAGATCATTCTAGGACTACTTTGACAAGTGCTCCTTTAAATACATCTACGAATCTCTCGACCAGATCGTTTAATTGCAAGTGGTAAAGAGTTTTGGTGTACTCAATATATAAATGAGTGTATTTTCGACTAGGGTCGTCGTGTTTTGGGGGTTAATAAGTCTTCACTTATACTAGTCTTTGTGTTCTTACTTTCGCGTCGTGGGAATCGCAGTGGTTCCTCGCTTTACAAGTATAAGTGATAAGCGATTCCGACATAACAATCAGCGATGACCAGATATAACAAGTAGCGTCCAATCTACAAGACATATCAGTGACGACGGAAATTTCGGAAAAAAAGAATTCATATAAAAAACGATGACTGATCACCACACTAATAATCATGGGTATCAATGTCCACCATTATTTCAAACTTTGGACTAAAATGAGTTAATGGAGAACGTTCAGATGAAATTTTTCTTAATTCATCTAAGAGATTCTGACTGTTTGGATTGGTTACATGTTGAATTGGTGATCAAAAATCGATTCCATAGATGATGCAATTCATTCACAGAATTTACAGAAACACTCCAAGATCCAATCATCCGAAGAAATGACCGTAGTGTAGGCACTGATATCTGTTTAATAGCATCTGTATTATACAGACCTGCTGGATGACCTCTTTTGTAAAAAAAATAGATCCAAGACACTTAAAAGACTCACGGGAAAATCCGAATTTATATTCCTGTAGGTTAAAACCAGAATGAGACATTCTCTGAGCACAACATCTAAACGAATCATCTATTAATTTGGAGTGGGACCAACAATTAGTGTTATCCAGACAAGCTACCGAACCCTTCACAATTCTACAACATTGTATCCACTAATCACAGTTGGTTTTGAGCCGAACGGTAATCAGTTACACTGACTAAAGCCGTGATGAGTTTTGATAATTAGGTCCATGCCGTTGCTTCTGTCCTCGACATCTGATCAAATACAGAAACAACATATATAAGCGAACAATATTGTTTTCGATTAGATCCTCATCAGGCTTTACTCTAATATACAGTAATATTTATATGCATATACGAAATTATTAAACCAATCAAAGTAGTTTATAAGTCAATGATAACAATGGAAAAGATTACATAATAAGTAAGATGTGAAAAGTACAAATTGATGGTGTGACAACAGGTGCATTAGTTTTGATAAGCAATAATAATAAAGGTTCAAATCAATGTTACATAATCTGAAATAGGTCAATGATTAGAAAAATATAGAAACTGCGATAACAATTATAAAATTATAAGATGACGTAATAAGAAATGTTCAGATAATTGGACCATGAAACGTATAGTTGAGAGAAAATAAAGTGGTAGGAGGGTGTGAAGAAAAATAATAAACGAAGAGAAAGTTAGAAAAGGAATAAATAAATAAATTCATTTATTAATTAAGGCCAAGGGAGAGATAAGGGAGTTACAAATTTCTTCTGAACACAAAGACTTGGCTTGTTGGTTCGGATTCCTATAGCTTCTGCTATGTGTAAGAGACGAGATCGAACACCATAAGGAAAACTAGACTTATAAACTACTTTGATTGGTTTAATAATTTCGTATATGCATATAAATATTACTGTATATTAGAGTAAAGCCTGATGAGGATCTAATCGAAAACAATATTGTTCGCTTATATATGTTGTTCTAAATTTACAATATGGGAATATTTCAAAATACAGAAACAGCAAACTGATCTTCCTTCTTCAAAGAAGGGTTGAAGATCATAACAATTTGGTGATGGAGACTCAAATGTAGATGATAAAAGATGACTGTTTTATTTGGCCAAATAGAGTTACCACTGTCTCAGGAGTACAAACACAGGCTCTTCAAGAACGGCGAATTGGAAAATTAACGGCAAAATTCCATCTTCAGTCCACAATTGTGCCAGAGCAGAAAGATACAGAATCATCGCTTCGTACGATCCAGGAATTTGATTTTGATGCACAGTGATCGCATTCAAATTACGGTTTGGCTGAATAGATGTTTTCCGAGTAGAGTATGCTGGTACTGTTGAAGAGAAGGTTCGATTGTTATTACAAAACTGGATCCCATGAGCATCAAAAGTATGGAAATTATATCTTACCAAAATATACTCGTGAATATATGAGTTATGGTGAAACTATCGGGATCTTAAATAAGATATTTTGTAAACAAATATCCTGATTCTATAATCAGTATAACTATCTCCAATTAATGAAAATCGATGTTTACCTTACATAAACCGAGAGAGCTAATTTTCAGTCCAAACGATTCAAATTACATGCTTTGCATTATGACCAGCTTCAATGTTTACTATTTGCTCTTGAAACTCAATCGTCCACAAAGACCGGTATTCGAACGAGACTGCCATCACACATTGGAAAAGAAAATCAAATGACTCTGTGAATGGTTAATGAAGAATGTCAATAACTGGTCAACCTAAAACATGATGCCGCGACGATAAAAATTAAAGGAGTATCGCCATCAAGACTCAGTGCTAATTACATTAAACTAGGTAGAAGATAAAATTTTACAATTAGTAGCCAATACCAATCCAAGTCTGTCAAATTGTCAACAAATTATTAATTTTGTGGCTCCAGGCATCTCACCATAACTTGACACTTCAGAAATCAAAGATGTTACAGAATTGGTTTTAAGGAAACGGTTTGCAACTACGATCAAGTAAAGCTTTATCAGAATCGAAAAGGCCAGATGAAAAATATATGAACATATGCATTCAGTGTGGCAAATAAAACATGATATGCGAACTTACTAATAGGGAGAATTTATATTTGGTTACTACTGTATATAGCTTCGAATATTACACTTGTTACCTACAAGGTATGGAATGTAGTAGGTTTCTGACCTATATGCTCCTAGAAACACATTTGGATTGATCTAATGGGCTGTTCAATTCAGTGAAAATTGTTTTGCCCAAACTTGTCATATAACAGGTGAGCATGGTTTGGAGAGTAATAACCTTCTACTGACTTCCTTTAATAGTAAGATTCTTTAGACCTAACCCGGTCAGATAAAGTATTTCGTGATAATTGAAAATGAAATAGGTTTGTTCTATCTTGGTATGATTTGAGTTGAATAAACCTGTAGATATTCAAACCACCAAATAACTTTAAAGTTTGATAACATGTCAATACACAACTTGATTATACCCTAATATTTACAATAGCATACTTTCTACCTTGCTATTACTTCGTCATACATCGCGTGCGAAGATAGGTAACATATATCTCAACAGTACGTGTCCAATTTCTAACCATTATGTCCAGTATTCATCTCAACAATTTCGTTTTTGGTAGCTTAGCAATACTGTTAAACCCCATACAAGTGTGCCTCAGAGCTTAGTACAAGGGCCTGCACTTTGAATGTTTAACTAACATTAGACAGTAGATTTCCTGTTTGGCTCGACTGGTAGTTAGGCAAGGTATGAGTTATCTGTTGTATATCGTACTCTGCCGTAAAAAAATAGAGGACTCAACAAAATGCTGTTCACTAACAAAAAACAAGGACGTTTAGAGAAACACACATTCCAGATAACGACTACAATATTCCACTGTAACAGTTATCTCAAGTGTACGAGCTGAATTAAAGTAAAATAAAATATTCAACTTGTAAAACATTAG